GGGTTTAAGTCTTAGCTCCCTCCTTCTCCTCTCCATATTGGAGGGGTGATGCAGAAGTAGGGAAACAAAATAAGAGTAATCGTATTTAGTTAAAATTTAAATTATGTGGTAATTATTGTGGAAAATCTGCTGGTCAGTGAGAAACTCATCAGTGAAGAATGTGTTCAGGAGCCCTTCAATGTCTTATGCTGAAATATTTATTGAAGCTTGGCCAAGGAGAAAATCTGAATCCATCAATACAACAACTTTGGATGATGTCCCCTCATATTCTGAAGTCTGCTTTCTTTTGGTCACAATTTAATACCTACTGATCATTAATCTATGGGTCTGCTTGCTCCTGAACAATTGAATGTATTTTTCTAATTCTGGAGACAGTATTTCCTGCTTAGGCAGTCTCATATCTGTGGTGTCTGGGGAGCGAAACCTTTGACCTTGGCCAAACACGACAGTCAGCTGCACTATGCCTTAGAGAGAGGAGAGGAGATAGTCTCCGGAAAAACAGTAATCAGAATACAGTTGTCTGCATTTTTAACTACAGGAGCAGTTGTACTTGATCTGAATGCTTAGTTTGGTTAAATGCCTTCTCCCCGATGAGCTATCTACTTAGCCTAATTGACTAGTCGATAGCAGGACAATCTTTTTAGCATTGTCAGCAAAGCAGCTAACTAACTAACAAATGCATAGAAAACCACCACCTATTGACCAATCAGCTCTTCTGGAAAATGTCATCATCACTAAGAGCAGACCCTAAGGAGCGCGGTGTGCGGATTATGAGAGGGTCTTTTTTAGGAGGGTTGAGTGTCCTTTGGCTTCACCCTGAAGATGCTGTAGATGAGCGACCCTCATTATTCATGTCTTCTTTATTTCATTTTTTCCTATTTGCTGTAGTAAAGCATCAAGCCATTTCATTGTGCTTTTGTATACCAACATCCTCCTACAACAGAGACTGATGGAAGCACTAAAGCTTGTGCCGGTTGTATTTATAGGATGTGAAAGCAAGCCCACTTACCACTTTGAATTAAGCTTTTGTACATACTTATACTATACATTTGCTCACAAATCCATTTGACACCACCAGGGTTACAGCAAAAAGAATAAGGCTAAAATTGCCATACAAGCAATAATACATCCAAGAACACATTCATTTAGTGGAATACACAAATGTATTTATGGTTTAATGATGGGGCAGTAAGCTTATTGACTTACGGATTCACACAGTCAGCATTTGCCAGCTATACTTCCTGCATTTGGGAGCTGCAAGTGTTGCTTAAAGCTTAGGTTATATGTAAAACTTTTTTTTTTCTTTCTTGTTTTACACTTTGCTCTCTTTAGATCAAATATTCAGCTCTGCTGACTGTGGATATCTCCATGTTTGTGATTGGTCATATGCTGCAAACTATTGCTCCTTTTATGTGAACATGCTCTGGTAGCCATGGGTTGACTTATCTAGTTTATAACCTTCATTGTATGACAGCTTAGCAAGACATGCTTTGGCGAACAGGCCTCTGGGTTCAGTCTACTTTAGGCAGCAGAATTGTGTGTATGCCACATTCAGTCAGTTTTACATGCAATAATAATGTATAACAACATTCAAGTTATCCAATGTGTTTAACTAACGATACTCCCTTTGACTAATCTGACAGAGTATCTTTTAAATTACATTTAAGGCCATGCAATCTGGAGTGAAACACATTTTAAAAATAAACCTCCCAACACTGGGTACA